CACAGACTCCTGAGGGATTTTCTTTCGTAAAGGATAAACTGAGTCGTCTCGAAAGAAACTCTTCTTCTTTTTTTCTTCTTTTCTTCTTCTTCTTTTTTCTTGATAGAGCTTTCGGTTCAATTAAAACTGTACCTCGAGGTGTGCAATCTTAAATAGACCTCTTCGATCCCTAGACACGATTCTTTTATTCTTGTCTTACCCTACTTTCGCAAGGGAATACGTTGATTTACTGGGAAGGATCGTTAGATAATCGAAAATACGACCTTTTGATTTATCTTCGTGTTATCATATTTAATCATCATTTCCTATATTAATCAATTTGTATTGTCAAATACGTCAAAAACAATAGTTTCAAAACTTTTTCATATAATAAGGATATATAAAATTATTATTACAAGTAGGACGAACTCCTTCATGCCAAACTTATTAAGCATTTGTGAAGAATTATTGGTTGATGGGCCCTGGATAGCTCAATGGATAAGAGCAGTCCCCCAAAAAGCGAAAGATCGGGGTTTCTGAGTCCCGTTTTTTAGTCAGTTCAGCGAGTCCAGTTTTTTTTTCACGAATCTTACAATTGGAGGATCGTCCGAGATGAAGGTTTGTTTCGTAAAATGCTCTACAATCTTACAACAACACAAGGAAAAATAATTAAAAATAAAAATGTAAAAGAAGAAGAGGCTAAGCCGACAATGGCGACGTGGAACGGTTGACTGAGGAACTAGGCAGACGGCATTTAACAGTAGATTTACGGGCATTGCTTGTATTGGGATCTCTGGCAGGGTCGTGACGTAGCAATTCGACCTATCTACTCTAATTTCGAATTTAGCCACCAGATAGCGTATTCAAGTGCTAGAGATCCCAATACATTTTTTACTGAAATCCGTCTTTTTGAGACGGGCATGTTAAAATGCAATTTTGTTTTAAATTATTTATTAAAAATCTATAGATTTTCATTCACTGTTGTCTTCAATACATTTTTTACATGTAAACTCTATCTTATAATCTTTCACTTTGATATACTTGTTTTGTAAAATAATATGAGATGCTTCACCTCCAAAAATAACTTCTTTTACTGGCAAAGCTCACAAGTGAACTGTTAGTATTTGTGATATGAGAAGATTTGAACTAACTGTAGACAACAAATCGAAACTTGTTTGCTCATGTCTTTACTGGAAAATAGCCGACATTTGTTTAGTGTTCTTTTTTTCCTATTCATTGTTATTATATTTTTATTATTTCTAAATGTTGCATATCTATATAACTTAACCCGTTAAATTGATGAATTTTCGTAAAAAGAGGTATACCACATCTGGAAATAGTAAGATAAAAGTGTTCCAAAGAAAATAACTAAAAATATATTTCCGCTGCATTATATAATTAAAAACCAATATGTAATATTTAAAGAATATTAATGTGTAATAAACATTTAAAAATGTTTCAATCTTCAGAATTGTTAAGTATTAAATCGAAAACCTGTCATTTTGACGGGTTCCGTAAATCTTGTGTTAAAATAAATATGTAAAAGAAGAAGAGGTTAAGCCAATAGTGGCGACGTGTAATGGTTGGTTGAGGAACTAGGCAGAGGCCTTTTTTAAGTTCTCAGCATCGTGTTCAGAATGATACATGTGAAGACGTAAAGATGTAAAAGAGAGCTGTTAGGTGCTGGAACATATTCGGGGTCCAATGTTGTATTTGTAGGGGGTTGGAATGTGGGACGAACGCCTCCCTGTTAAATTTTATGAAGCATTCGTGGAGAAGGATTGGTCAATGGGTCTTGGATCGCTCAATAGATACAAGTAGTCGCCCAGAAAGCGAAAGATCCGGGTTTGAGTCCAGATCCAGTCTTTTTTAAGAATCTTACATATATAATTATTATGATAAGAAGTATGTATATAATAATTAATGAAATTTAATTTAGTAGAAAGTATTTTTGGATTATCGAAGAAAACACCCGTTTGTTCTATCTTTGCTAAATCATATTGTTGGATTCCTGAAAAAAAAATTAAGCCGTTTGACTGACTGGATGCGGGCATTGAACTCGGGTTTCTCACTTTACTGCTTTAATCTTTGATCTATTCCGGAACAACTTCCTCGAAGTGAGTATTTTATTTAGAAGTTCGATCTCATAATATTTAATCACCTTTCTCTATTAATTAATTAAATTATCCAAATGCTTCTAAATTTGTCACATAATTTTTTCACATAATTTTTTCACCTAACAAAATTTTATTATTTGTATTCGTTTGTTTGTTTATAAATGATTTTAAAGTACATGTCGAATGTTTCCCTAATTTGACAAAATCGTCCAAAGTAGTACAAAATATATTGAATGCATGTGTATTTAATATTAATATTAAATGTATTAATAATATTAAAAAGAGATTCAATGTGTTTTAGCACAGTAGCACAAAATATTGAAAAATATTGAATACATGTGTATTTAATATTGATATTAAATTTATTAAAATAATCTTAAAAAGAGATTCAATGTGTTTTTAATATTGAATACACATGTATTCAATATTTTTCAATATTTTGTGCTACTAGGGGTCTTGAGTTGCTGGTTAACGCAAACGAAATAGGCCTCGAGTGCAAAGGATTGAAAATAAAATAAAAATGATAAAATATAAAATAATTCAAAAACAAAAATCAAATAAAGAGTTTCACGTTAACGATATGACATTTAATGAAATTAACTTTTATTATATTTAGAAACAACAATATATGTATTATACTTTTTCGATAGAAACAATCGAGTAAAAGAGCACGTAAATAATCTCTTTATCTTATTGACATGATTATCGTTATTATCGTTATTATCATTTCGTAATGGTCGATGCACTGAATCAAGTATTTTGAAATAATGTTGACTTTTATCACTCGCTTAACCAAAATTTCTCTCATCGGGGTTACTCTCACTTACAGCTTCAAACATTTTCATACACATGTATAGATATATATGTATGTATAGTATATTCGCTTTGAATACGTCACGTGATAAATTTTATGGAAAACGATGAAAGGAGTAGCGTCAATTTTGACGTTCCTCTTCCACTTTAAACGTTGATCGTTTGAACTTCCGCGGTCAAGCTTTTACATGAACGGAACTTGCAGATTGGTAAACGGCAAATTGAATCCAGAAACCGCAGAGAAATATTTTTACCATGTAGCCCAGCATATGATAGAAATAAGTCAGATCTTTGATGATGCAGAAATTGATATTGGAATCGTCGTCTGGCCGCATTCGTAGTAATTAATGACCCATAAACTGTAATAATACATAGCCGGTAAACTTTTGATGAATATTCCGAATCAAATACATATATATATACATACACATACTCAGGATTGTTTGCGTTTAAAAATAACATTGATAAAAGTTTGGAGAAAAAAAAAGGGGACGTGAAAAAGAAGAGAAGAAAATAATTCGACTTGTTTGAATAAACAAATAGTTCAACGTCTAGACGTTGATTTAAGAGAAAGAGATGGATACATATTTTATTATCGTCTTACATCCCTTTTCTACCAAAAAAAAAAAACAATAAAATGAATATGTTAGGGTATAAACAAAATTAATACACTCCTTTCCTTTGTATACAGTAATTGTCTCAAATACTTTGTAAGAGTCTCAAACCTTTATTGAGTAAATATATAAAGAGAAAAATAGAGAAGAGAAATGAGTTAATGAAGTAAATTTCATTTCATTTCATTTGTGACATAATACGGATTCAAATAAATATCTAGTACCTGAGTAGTAGAAGTAGTAGTAAACTGTCTTCTTTTGTAAAAGGACATTCGGTTTGATAGTTTATAACGGTTTTAGAAACGGAATATAGCCATCTTGTTAAGATAATGAAAATAAAAGATGTCTCTCAAATAGAAAACCCTCTTTTTCCGCGAAAAGATGTAACATCGGCTGAAACAAGGAGTAGGAGTAAAAGACACGAGAAGCAGCTTAGTATGATTGTAACTCCATGCTGTTTGTCAGATAATTTGTCGGAGAGAGAAAGAGAGAGAGAGAGAGAGAGAGAGAGAGACAGAGAGACAGAGAAGGTTTAACTTTTGCAAAAGCGACAGCAAGGGAGATAAATGTGTCTTGAGATGTGGCTGACGGTTAATTAACATCGACGTTATTAACGCCAACTATCCTACTGTGAATCCAGTGTTTCTCATCTTTTACTTTCTTATTCTTATTTTATCTTTATTTCTCTCAAAAACTCTTTTTATCTATTCTTTCTCGCCCCCCCTCCACCCCACCCCCATTGCCCTACTCTCTCTACTTGACGTCTCCCCGATATTTTCTTTTATCTCTCTCACTCTCTCTCATTCTGTTCTTTACCTGCTTCCACCACCACCACCTGAACCACCCTTTTCCATTACTACGAAACGAACACCTAAGAGAGAAAATCTTCGTTCCTAGCGATAATTTAACGCGATTCTCGGAGATCGGGATGCGAGATAAGGATTTTACTAGAGTAATATAAAGAAGCTCGGCTTAGTCTCCGCGCTTGACCCGTTTACGTTAACTCGCCCTTCCTCCTAACCCTCCCTCCCCCCTTCCCCCTATTCACCACAGCACGCCTGGAGTACTTTGCAAACTTTCACACGCTCGTAGGTGGGCTATAAGTATGTACTAGTAAGTAATGCTGTAAGTAAGTAAGTAAGTAAGTAAGTAAGTAAGTAAGTAAGTAAGTAAGTAAGTAAGCAAACAAGCAAGCAAGCAAGCAAGCAAGCAAGCAAGGAAGCGAATAAATAAAAGTAAGTAAGTGAGAGGAAACAAGTCAAGTGGTTTAAGGCAAAAGAAATCCTTGGATATAACTGTAAAAATGTGTATTTTAATGTTTAACTTTAATAAAAAATTGATAATTCTTATCCCTTATCTTTACTCTAACGTATTACCCATACTTACTTTTCATACTTTGTTCGAATTTTGTGAAGTATCACATTTTATTCGAAGGTCTCGTCTTATGTTTACAAAAGAGTTATCGATTCTGTTACAGAATTACCAAAATTCGGGAAACCGCTGAACAATCTAACCATCTCAGTTGGTCGTGAAGCCATCTTCACTTGCATCGTGGAGAATCTCGGTCAGTACAAGGTGAGCCACATGAATTTCGCGGTAACTCTAAACTCGCGTTTACCGATTAATTAATGTCAACCGCACGTAATTATAATCGAGCATCTCGTTAACCGAGACCCGCGTATTAACCAACCGGTATAACTTTTTGGAATAGGGGAGAGAAGAAGAGAGAGAGAGAGAGAGAGAGAAGAAAATAGTTATAAAAAATAAAAGGGGGTAGAAAAAATTTATTACACGCTTTCAAAGTCCTACGTAAAATGCAATTAACGTTCGTTAATAATCTTTCTCTCTCTCTCTCTCTCTCTCTTTTTCTCTCTTTCTTTTCTCATTTCAATATTATTTTTTTTTTCTTTTTGATAGTACTATTTTCTTTCTCTCATTTTATTTTTTTTTTCTTCTCTCATTTTCTCACTCACGATTAAGATCATAATCGTTATATCGCATTTGTGGTCGATTGGTTTCACTCGAGTATGGCATATATTTCTTTCTTAGTAGGATGAACGAGTTGAATCGATCGTGGTTTCCATTAGAAAATTTTCTTGAGTATGATGATAATAGCCCCTCTTTCAACTTTACCGTTTCTCTCGCGCGAATTCTCACCTTGAATCGTGAACCGACATTATCGCGCGTAATTCAAAAACAGAAAAGTTCCATGAGAGTTGTAGAAAGGATAGGAGTTCGTTCGTTCGTTCGTTCGTTCTTTCGTTCATTCGATGGGGAAAGAGTAAGAGGAAGTGGTGGGAGTTGAAGGTGAAGAAGGAAGAAGAAGAAGAAGAGGAGAAGGAGTAGGAGAAGGAGGTGGAGGTGTAGGTGGACGAAAAAGGAAAAGTAGGAGGAAAACGGGAGCTAACGAACGGTGCAAATAAATTCCGAGCTGGAGCGGTTCGGCACGAATCGAACTGCGTATCTCGGCAGCTCCATTTAAGTAGAAATAAAATCCCACGGGGTGTGAGTTCAGCAGTTTGTTAAGCGGCTACCTCTTCCCCCTTCCTCTCCCTTTTATCCCCACCTCTTTCTTTTTCTTTCTGTCTCGTTACTATGAGCATACGATTCGTCGTCGTCTTACTCCTCTTCTTTTCTTTAACTCGTTTTACTATCCGAGCTGGCCAACCAACCCCAACACCAACCCCCATCCCCCACTCCTAACAATCCTCTTGAAAAAGTACGTTTTCCTTTTCGACGGAATCCTCTTCGAGCACACTTTTTTAAACGTCTCCTTCTTCATCTTCATTCTCGAACCACTAACGTGGTTAAAACTAACTATGATTTCAAAGTCGACACTTTCACAAATGTGCTGGGAGGACAAAAAAAAAAGAATCGGGATTAAAAATCTTGAAAAGAAAAAAGATAGAGGGAATTGCGTGTGTATATTGTTCTGATAAAAAAAAAAAAATAAATAAAAAAAGAATGAAAGGAATAAAAAATTTTTTTTTGTAAAATAGGGGTAGAAAAAAAAAAGTTATCACGAACCGGACTCGTATAACTCTCTAGCGATTTACTTACGCACGTATGAATTCATCTCCGCGTTCGATGACACGCCGGTACGGAAATGAAAATGTCGAGTCTCAATTCACCATCGGCATTATTTTACGGTAAAGTTCTTTCTCTCGCCTTGTAACCGGATAATCGATGGTGTTCGATATGTAGGTCGGGGGGATTGAAACGATCGCTTGTTTACCTTCGATCTCTCCGCTTTTTTGTCTTTTTCCCCACTCCCCTTTTGTTTCCAACGTGCTTCTGCGATAAAACAATTCCATAGCTTTGCCTTTACATTTAATTAAAATCCACCTCGTATACTGATCGATTATTCGCTTTCGAGATGCGAATACTCGCGATCCAAGTTCTCGTTTAGATTATATAAATATATATGTATGTATGTATGTATAGATAATAGATAGAACAGATGGATGAATAGATAAATTAGGTAATATATGGTTATGGTTATGGTGCTTATGTTGAATAATAATTAGCTATGATTTAATGATGATCTAATGGAAAATAAAAACTGTACACTCTCGTGAAATTGTACTTTTAAAAGGGATTTTAATCAAGAGTTGTATAATATATTGTATTATATGTTACATTATATTATTTTGGCTGCAATTTGCAATTTTATTTGTTACCTGCACGTGATGTTAATTCGTTTAGCAACGATAGGAGATCATCCCGCAGTTACGGTGATATCGTTTCAAACTGATTTAAAGTTAGTTAGTTAGTTCTTAGAATAATGCATATTCGACGAGCAGAGTCGATATTCATGAACGTGAAATAGGGTTTTCTTACTCTCAATAGCGTTTTTCTAATTTCATCTTAAAGTTATTATTATCGTTTGAAGTCAAGTAATAATAAATGAAATAATTTAGTTTCATCTCGCTGTAAGCTATTACAAATTTATAATAATTCAATTTCTATTACTTTTATCCAAGTAAAAATGGTTTTTTTTCTTTTTATTTAAATTGTATTACATTATTATATATATTATTGTTATGTGCATATTATTATATTATTATATTTTTATTATTATATTATAAATATATTGATATTATTTACAATTTTATATACATTATATAAATATTATATATAATTTAATTATATTAAATAATAACATATAATATATATTATACAAAATAAATATTATATATAAAATAATTAAATTATAAATATAATATATTAAATAATAAAATATTTTATATTATATAATTATATATATATATATATATATAAATATTATAAGATTATATTATTATAATTGACGTTCTTCTTTTTCCTTGGTAGATATAATTCGTTTTAACGAAAGTAGAATTTATTTCAAATGCACGAGATTTCTTTTACGTTTGCGAAAAGTACGTTCAAAGAAAGAAATGGAAAAAAAAAAATTCTGCGATTCGTCGGTCGTAGAACGCAGTTATATATATTACATCGAGTCGAGGGGAAAATTTTAAAATTTCATTAAACAGTCGAAATTACTTCCTCCGGAAACTGAGAGCAAAAACGACGACGGGGTTTAGGGTGGGTGGTCTCTTCTCGTCGTCTAAATCTTTCCCTTCTATCCATAATCCTCCTCGTACCAAAAGGGACATTTCTTCTACTCGTTCTTAGGGTTGCAAAGTATTTCTACGATTTTAAACCTAATTGAAGCGGTAACCCGAAAAATTTATCGAGCAGTGTTGAAATCACGAGTCTCTCCCTTTTTTGTTAGGTTCGTTTGAAATTATTATTCTTTAACCTTTTTAAAATGACCTTACAGTTCATTTTTCTTTTTATTTTCTACTTTTCCTCGTTTATTCATTTTTATTTTATTTTATTTTATTTTATTTCGTTTTATCGGATTTTCTTTTTTTAAATTCACTTCTAAGAAGAAGCAACGAACCAGGGGAAACACTTTTAGTCGTATCGAGAAAAGCAACGCAGAATTCTTCGGAAAAAAAACCAGGATGAAAATGCTTGAAAATTTGATTATCACCGTTGTTGAATCGTGTTAAAGCTAATAATAATGATAATACGTAATAATAATGTGAAGTTGGTTATTGTAAAAGTAACGTAAGTTCGGTGGTTCTCTAGAGAAAATCGATAATGAGGTTACCATGGTTACAAATTGACGTGAAGTTTTTGAGTAAAATTAAATAAATTTTATCGACCGTACCTAAATTCTCGCGGTTTCGAGAGTAGACAGCGACGAGCTCGCCACTTAATTTGATTTCCATTTTCGGGTAGCGATTTTCAAGCTTCGTACTTACGATGGTAACGCGATAACGATGCGATTTTGTTTTAAAGCGAGTGAAAATTCGCTTGTTCTACTCACTCTTCAAAAAAAAAAAAAAAAAGAGAAAAAGAGTTTATCCTTCCGTAAAAAAAGAAAAAATTGTTTTCAAAAAGAAGAGAAGAGAAATTAAGTTAATAATTAAGTACTCATTTATATGGGAACTTGAATACAACTTGAAATCACGTATACAGGGTGAATCTTGTAACTGGGACGGGTAATAACTTCTTTTTAAGTAACAATAGAGAAAAATGATAAAGGAAAAAGTTATATGGCATATTACGTGTCACCTTCCTATGACCTTACTTTTTTTGAAAATGCATCGATGCATACGCTAGATGCAGTTGCACTTATTTTTTAAACGAAACTCTACATTTTTTTTATACCATTCGACTCCTTTCTTTATTCTGCGTAAAAAAGTATTAAGTGAAGGTCATCGAAATGTCAATAGTTAACGAGATATTGTATAGTTAGTATCGTAAATTTGAACGATTTGATTACTAACACACAGAAATATAATATTTTTCGATGAACATCGATGTATTCACGACGTATATATTACGTTTGCATTTAAACGCGTTATTTATTCCTATTGGCAAAACGTCCATAAGGTCCGTAGCTATCGTTTGCAACTGCCCGATCAGATTATGAGTTTGATCTCGCACGAGCCCAAACATGTCTGCCAAATAGTCGCACCTTCGTACCGAGCTTTACCACCCTTTTTCATTCCTACTCCTACTCTTCCTCTTACTCTTCCTCTTTTTACACCACTTCAGTTGGTATTACTGCTGTTGCTGTTGCTGCTTTGACAAGCTTGTTAGACGAACGGTTAAATGTAATTTCATTTTCGTTAGAGCACGAATGATATACCGTGATTAATATTGAATTTATTTGATATCGTTGAAAGTACGTTTGATTTTTTTTAAGTGAAAACTTCTTCAGAGTCGGCGGGATTTGTAAACGGATGAAACGATGAAACGATGAAACAAAAAAATGACGAAATGCTAAGTCACAAAAAAGAGAAAAATAGACCAACACCATACAACTGTAGGATTAAGGATGCTAGAGAATAAGATAGAATGAAGTATACAGATTAAAGGGTTTAAAATAGTAATTTAGGCAGATTTCACAAATCATCCCCCACAGCCTACCGCCGTGTATAGGTGGCATAAAAAATGCATGCCTCATAGCCTACTACCGCGTATAGGTGACATCAAATAAAATCATTCAGAGCTTACTGTAAGTCATTAGTGGCATT